GGCCTTTGCTTCGCCTAACACTGTACGCCGCATGGGTGAAGCTCAGATGAAGAACAACCAACCGATGGGTCAGCAGAATTCAGGTATGCAGAAGAGTGGTGGCAGAGGTGGTGGTGGTCCACCTGGAGGCCCGCCTGGGCCTCAGGTTGGAGGAAACTATGGTGGCCGGGGAGGCGGAGGAGCTGGTGGTGGTGGCGGTGGTGGAGGAGGAGGCGGGGCAGGTGGTGGGAATTGGGGCAGAGGTCCAGGTGGTGGTGGGATGGGGGGTAGAGGTCCTGGTGGGAATATGAGGAATCGGATGGGTCCGGTGGGTGGCCGAGGGATCATGGGGAACGGAGGGATGGTGGCTCCACCGCCACCAATGATGCATCCCGGAGGGATGATGGGGCAGGGATTTGATCCCACTGGCTATGGTGCAGCCATGGGAAGGATGGGTGGAGGGTTTGGAGGGTTCCCTGGTGGACCTGGTGGTGCACCATTCCCAGGCTTGATGCAGCCATTCCCACCTGTGGTTGCTCCTCATGTGAACCCAGCGTTCTTTGGGAGAGGAGGTGGTATGGGTGCCGGGGGTGTTGGAATGTGGCCAGACCCAAGCATGGGTGGTGGTTGGGGAGGCGAGGAACAATCAAGCTATGGTGATGATGCAGCATCTGATCAGCACTATGGAGAAGGTGGAAGCCATGGTAAAGAGAGGCCACCAGAGCGGGAATGGTCAGGTGCACCAGAAAGGAGGCGGGAGAGGGAAAAAGATTTGCCCCCACCACCAGAATTGCCAGAGAGAAGGCACCGTGATGAACGGGATATGGGTCGTGAGAGGGAAAGAGAGAGGGACAGAGGAGGAGATAGGGAAAGGGAGAGGGACAGAGGAGATAGGGAAAGGGAGAGGGATAGAGGAGATAGGGACAGACACCGGGATGACAGAGATCGCCATGGTGATTATCACAGACACAGGGAGCGTGATTCTGATCGTACTGAAGACTGGGATAGAGGAAGATCATCTGGGAGACGAAGCAGGTCAAGGGAGGTTGATCACTCAAAGCGGCGACGAATGTCGCACGAGTGATGTACCTGGATGCCTAGCATAGGGGCAGCGGCAATCCGAGGTGGCATAATTTTTGCACATGCCAACTTTCAACCGTTCACTGCTTATAACTGCTTGTGTCTCCAGGGATCTGTTGTAGCATTAACTGAGATGTAAGTTCTGCTTTATCTGTTCTTGTTCTTTGTTTTCAATGTAATCATTCTTTCATTTGGTTGTATACCTGTACGTAGCTTCCTGTCGCCGGATATCACTGTATAGCTGCATACTTGTGTAACCCACTGGATACCGTCTGTATAGCGCTCTGGTTGCTGTTGTGTATAGATTTTTCATTAATTCTTTTGTAGCTTAAAGGCATTGCTCAAGCTGGGAATTCAAGAATGTAACTTAGATTTGTAACTTGTAAATAAGCTGTTGTAGAAAACCTCCTTGTAATCCAATTGTTATTTATATGATGTATCCTCAAAAAGGAAATGTAAAGGCTCCCACCCTGTATTCTTCAAATATGACCAGTGGTGTTTATGCTCCAGCATTTTGATAAGTACTGCAGAGTAGGTCTTGGAAGTTAAGATAAGTTGTAAAAAGACCTAACTGTACTGTTTTGGAGCTTGTAAATGCTTATGTCACTCCTTCTGTTCCGCACTGGAGGCTCTGACAATTAGTCGAAAGGTCCTGTGCTGGAAACAATGTTCCTGCATATTGAGATAATTGAACACATACTTGTCAAAATGCGTGAGCTAGACCAAAATTTCACATATTACATTAATTCAGTGCAAAGACTGGAGGTGTCTTGGGTTAACAAGTTCCACTGCATCACATGTAATAACTTATTTCCAAAGCTTGAAGTCTAGTGCTCCAGTGATCTAAGGTGTAGAAACATAATAGCTAGCATAGGTCAGACAACAGAGTTAGTGAATATAGAGAATGCTTCACATTTATAAGGACTATTTCCCCGTGTTGAATATTCATGTAACATGTTATATTCTGGTAACTAGACTTCGCACTCACCAGTAACAACTTGGAGTTCACTAAAATGAGTACCATGCTATGAATGCGCTGAACCAAACTAAGCTTCTCAGTTGAATATAATTATCATTTGCAAATTCATTCGTGTATACTAGAAAACAACAAACTCATTACATTGCACTATCTGCAAGCTGCTTTGCATTCAAGTAGATTTTGTGGCAGGGAATAGTCGTTTCTTTGTGAAATTTGAAAAAAAAAATCTAGATGCGCTACTTGTAGACTCCTAAAGTACTATCACCAATAGGATGTTAAGTATCTAGTGAGAAACATGTATGCTTGTCTGAAAAATGTAAGCACTGCATCTTTTCTTTTCTGCATGCATCCTGTTATGTGTTCATTCATGGAGAATGTCAAGTCAAACATGATTTTATTTTGATGACATTGGTGGCTGCTAGTCCCTTTTATAACGTGATCTATACATATATTGATCTCCTTATTCGGGAATTGTTTTAGGCTGTATGAACTGTTATGCATTCTTTCTCTACTTAAATAATTGTCAGAGTTATTTGATGCCAATATCTTTCCTTTTGGCTGTAGTGAGCTTCTATATGGTTTCTAATCCATTTAGACCATTATATTGTGGTCCGATTGTTTGTAGTTTTGTGATTTTTGAACTGAGTCTGTAACTTTCACTGCATTATAATGCTACCGGTGGAGTTGCCCCTGCTACTTTTTATTTGCCTGCTTGTTTCATTGCCTAGTTGTCCGTGAAGGAGAAACATTTTACAGCAAGTACTATTATCCTGTATTATGGCTGGCTGTATTTGTTTAATCATTTCATGTTTAGGTACTTAAGTGTTAAGATGAAATGTTTCTAGATATAATTTTACATTCTTTGTTTTGAAATATGTCCTTAGTTTCTTTACAACAAATCCATAGATAGTCTGTTCAATTTTTGTTGGCTGCCAACTTTTTGTCGGCATCTAGCACCTGCTGCAAGTCTGTAGCTTATTTCTACTTTGCTCTATTTGCCACTAATAACTTAGTTTAGCAAATTTATTACTTGTAACACCATTAAGTTCACAGCCTTACTGTATTTCATATTGAAATGCTGGTAATTGTGATATAAAAGATAGTACTACCTCTGTTCTTTAAATGTAAGACGTTTTGGCAGTTTATTAAACTGCCAAATGTCTTATATTAATGAACAGAGGGGGTAGTTTTTAGGATTGTGCTGTACTCTATGTTCTGGTGCTATTATTATATTTTACCTATTTGTATTCCTTTGCTGCTAGCCTGCTACCATGTACTGACTTATACTCTCTGTCTTGCAGCCATACAAGCAGTTCAAATAAGTGCGAAGTCATGATTCCAGCTTCCTCGGATACAAGATGTTGCTGCCGCCTGCCTGCCTACCCCTACCTGCCCCTACCTTAAATATAGTCGCCGAGTGGCATAATATTGCCGGAAAAACCTGTCAAACGTGTTGTGATTCCCCTAAATACTCTTTTGTTTACCTTATTATTATGCGAGGAAAGAGCACCGAGAGTGCGAGAATGTACTATTTACTATGTATTAGGATGATCATCTGGTCTGTAACCTTGTATTATGACTTTTGCCTTTCTTTTTTGAATTATCTCTGCTGCTGGTGGACAAGTGAACCAACATCCAACATTCATGTGGCTCGTACTTGCCTGGAGGTAGTTGCAGTGTTTTGTTTTTGTAGGTTTGTGGCTGTGTTCTACACCTGTATGCCATCTATGAATGCTTACCTGACCTAGATGTTGGTTGTTGTGCTTGTGGCTATAGATTTGCAGCAGGCTGTAACACTAGGAATGTACACATGCAGTTTTTAAATGTTGCTAGGTTTGTGTTCCTTTTGGTAGATGTTGTAAAATAAATTTTGTGAATACGCACAATTTTCTTACCTCTAGAATGAAGGTGTTGAACTACAACTGTGTATGATCTGTGTGACCTATGTGTGTTACTGTGTTGGTATGACCTCTACCAAAATAAGAGTGGAAATACATTTAGGCCTTGTAATGTTGTTTTTCCACCCCGAAGAGATTTGGGATCGTTGGACTCCTCCCAATCCCGTTCCCCAATACGCTAGGTCTAGGTTAGTGTCTAATAACTAGGATCTGAGGGTTTTGTGGGTATACCTGGGGACCTTGGGTTGGACCAGGAAAATACTCTCAAAATTCTTCAAAAACACTTCTGCCAGACTGCGCAACTATAGTTGATCTACGCCTACGCAGGGGTTGCCAGGATCTACTTATGCTCTGTGAGCTATTACCTTCATGTTTCTCTCTCACAAACTCAAATGTATCTGCTTCTGAAATCAAACTCCCTGCACATGCCAAACAATAGCCTAAAAGTTTGAGAACATACACGAAAACAACGAAACAACAACAACAATACAAAGCCTTCAATCCCAAACAAGTTGGGTTTGACTAGAGTTGAAACCCATAAGATATCGAAACCAAGTCATGGTTCTAGCACATCTAACTTCCATGCGGCCCTGTCCATGGCTAAATCTGTTGGTCGTTTAGACAGGTTGAACCATCGAATGTTCAATAAAATTCACAAACTCCCTGCATGTGCATGAAACCAAACAATAGCCTGAAAGTTTGAGAACATACTCCGGATTGCAAATGTTCAGACCACTTAGAACAATAATCTCTAGGTCGTCCAGACAGTTGAACCATCAGATGTTTACTAAAATTGTACAAGTTGACATCTCTACTAAGATGCCACCCAGTCACATACTACAAATAGTTGATAACATTACAACAACAAGATCAGAGGCATCATCGGCCCAGATCCAAGATGAGAGGATACAAACACGGATCCTCTGCGATATAAGACCCAGTGGCGACAACTGTCAACTCGCGTGCACATCATATCACCCAGTGGCGAAACTGTTTCTGCCGAGCATCACGAGAGCTGCTCTGGGCAGTGGGCACAGAGCATGGGTCAATGTTTTCCTGACAAGTTAGAGTACAAACGCTTGGAGTCTCAGCCTTGCCTCAGTTACTGCCTTCAGGAACTCCTCCGTAGGATTGTCTTTCGCGGCTGCTAGAGCCGTGACGTAGGCTGACATTTCCTGCTCCATCTTCTCCGTATCAATATCACCTACCGTATCCTGCGTTGTAGCAAATAGGAGAAACAACAAATTAAAAATCAGTTTTGGAGCAAAGCACATATAGATAGCTCATTCAGATAAAGACATAATTAATTCAATTTTTCATCAAGCAAGATATACAATAGCGTTGAAGAGTTTATAAGAATGTAACAGGGCATGAGCTTACATCAAGCTGAACTGGTTCACATTCCAACGATGAATCGTCAGATCTCTCCGTGGGATGAGAGGCTCGGTTGTTCTCTGTTATTTTCCTGAATACCTTCATCAGAGCAGAGATTTCAACATCCATAGAGGCTACATCCACTTCAAGTTCTTCAACTTTTGTACTTGACATCTTTGCCTCCCATTCTAGCTTCTCCAATGCTGCTTGCTTCTCTGCCAACATAATCTGCAACAATAACACCAAATCAGCAAGTATTTAGCAATTAGCAGTGCTATTACTAACAAACTGATTAAATTGAGCCTATACTTTTATGACACAGATGAAAAACATAGAAGTCTCTTGTAACATAAACAAGCATGAATACAAATTAGAAAGTAGAAAATTTAAGACAAAGAGCACTACAGCACATGTCAGTTGAAATATAAACTGTGTTGGCCTTTTACTCTTTTTCTTACTCTTCAGAATCTACTGTTCAACATTAAAAGAAAGGGACAAAAGACATAAGCATCTTTAACATGGCATTGAAACACATTGAGGAAAACATACATCACTAATCAAGTAAGGCATGAAAAATGCCAAATAAATTTTCTAAAAAAAGGTCAAATAATGTTTAATGCATAGTTATGTTTGTACTTGTCAGATCCATGAAAATCACTACTCAGCTTTGAATGCCGAGCAGCAGCGTAGTTAGAACCTCAAATCAGCATATCCATAGGTTTCTTTCTTCACATCAGTTCAATCAAATCAATAATAAGGGTACACGACAGGCCAACTAAAGTGGAATAAGTAGAGGCTCACAAAACATGGTGTGCACTTGTATATCTAACTGCGTCATTTTCTGATCGATTTTGAATAAGAACTTGGGGTACATTGCTTTGCATTATCAAAACCATATAGTGCAGAGAAGAAAACCAGGACAGTGACTTTGTTGTCTGAATGATAGTGTCCCATAGCATCATCTTCACTGGTGCAAAATTTGCAGAATAGCGTTTTCTTGAATGAAGGAGCTGGTTAAGCAGTAGTAATTGCTATGGGAATATAAACTCTAGCGATATGCCAAAAGTACCAAGCAAGTCCAGTATACCTTTGCACCATGCAACTCGGAGCCAGTAGACTCAACAAGCGATTCCTTATCATTAAGCTGGCTTCTCAATTCATCCACCTCTTCGTTCGCAACACTGATCCGGCTAATCAAGTTCTCTGCGGACCTCAGAGCTTCGTCTTTCTCAAGCAGTTTTCCCTGCAAGCCACCAAGCTGCTCCTGCAACGCAGCGAGCTCTTCCCTCTGCTTCTGCGCCTGATCCAGCTGCTGCCGCCTCTTGGCCGGCGTGGTTCTTGCTGGCTTCACAACCTTCGGCTCAGGAACCTGCACATGTAGTAGATGTTCGCATAGATCAAAACCACCAGTACAAACAGTAACAACCACTACCATTAACAAGCACGTATCCAGTTTTGGCAGGTGCAATGAGCACTGTTTCAGGACAGTTTCCTCTCGCCAAGACACTGCTGGTGCCCACTAGTCTACTCACACCGGGCCTTGCAGGAGCACAACGCCGACACTCCTCGCCACCAAAGACAGGCTCAAGCTTTGAGCACCCAAGAACCCAGCATTCGACGAGCAAGACAAAGAGGCGATTCGGAAAGGTAAAAGATGCTCGAAAAGGAGATTTGGAGCGGGGTCAGGGTCAAGGGGGCCTCTGGCTCACCTTCTTGGCCTGATGCGGAGCCGCCGTGTACGCCATCGAGACCACCCTCCTGCATATAGAGAGAGAGTCAAGAACGGCTCGAGCAAACCCCGGAAGAAAATTCAAACTGGACCCCGGGCGGAAATGCAGATCGAGGGCAATGGGACCTGTACCTGGAGGAGGGCGCGGAGGGGGCGAGCCCGCCCCGGATCCTGGACCTGGAGGCCGGGCCCGCCGGCTTCTCGGCCATCCTGGTCCTCCCCGGCGGCGGCGGCGGCGGGACGGGCGGCGCTGGGAGTGGACTGCGGGGGTGGCGGTGGTGGACCGGTTCTGCGACGGAGTGCGCTAGTGCGGTGCTACCACTCCTGCCTGCCTGGGTCGTGGACCCGCGGGGTGGGGTGGCTATACCCGATACCGGCCTACCTGGGGGATTTTGTTCCGAGATTTATTTGTTTTTAGAAACGTTTTCGTTGAGGGTGAATAAATGCTTCGCACTCGTGTCGCCGTCGAGCAACATTCCGCTTGGGCAAAACATAGTGAGGGAACCTACGGCGTGTCGCCCACCGCAGGAATTGTTTTCTGTGCCGTAAAAAAGTTGTTTTAGATGCATCTATGGGTCGCTTTCGCTGTGACACACCGTCCCTTTGCCTCTCCCTCTTCTTCATCCTTTTTCGTAACCGATCTCCTTAGTCGAGTAACGCCCATTCTTCTCCCCTTCCTCACTTCTCCACGGCCGTAATCCTACCAATTCTCAGCGGCTTCACCGTCTCCCCTCCGTCAAGTCAGCCTCGTGTTCAACACCCCGTGCGCATATTGTGTCCAGAAAGTTTTTGTTGAAACTCTAAGGACACCTCGGCAAAGCACGCTACAGGAAAATATGGTGATAGGTGCAGGAGGGTTGGTGTATATGTC